GAGTCTCTGCACCCCGCCCCCGTCACCGTCTATCAGCTGAAGAAACATGTTAAACTCGTCAGTCAATAGAACTGAGGAACTCTCCTCATCTGGAAAACATTGCAAACACAATATAATAGGTCTGTGTCCTTCTAGCCCTCCTGGTGTCCATCTAACCCTCCTGGTGTCCTTCCAACCCTTCTTGTGTCCTTCTAACCCTCCTTGCATCCTTCTAGCCCTCCTGGTGTCCCTCCAACCCTCCTGGTGTCCTTCTAACCATCCTTGCGTCCTTCTAACCCTCTTTGTGTCCCTCTTACCCTCCTGGTGTCCTTCTAACCCTCCTTGCGTCCTTCTAACCCTCTTTGTGTCCCTCTAACCCTCCTTGCGTCCTTCTAACTCTCCTTGCGTCCTTCTAGCCCTCCTTGTGTCCCTCCAACCCTCCTGGTGTCCTTCTAACCATCCTTGCGTCCTTCTAACTCTTTTTGTGTCCCTCTAACCCTCCTTGCGTCCTTCTAACCCTCCTGATGTCCTTCTAACCCTCCTTGCGTCCTTCTAACCCTCTTTGCGTCCCTCTAACCCTCCTTGCGTCCTTCTAACCCTCCTTGCGTCCTTCTAACCCTCCTTGCGTCCTTCTAACCCTCTTTGCGTCCCTCTAACCCTCCTTGCGTCTTTCTAACCCTCTTTGTGTCCCTCTAACCCTCCTTGCGTCCCTCTAACCCTCCTTGCGTCCTTCTAACCCTCTTTGTGTCCCTCTAACCCTCCTTGCGTCCTTCTAACTCTCCTTGCATCCTTCTAGCCCTCCTTGTGTCCCTCCAACCCTCCTGGTGTCCTTCTAACCATCCTTGCGTCCTTCTAACCCTCTTTGTGTCCCTCTAACCCTCCTTGCGTCCTTCTAACCCTCCCGATGTCCTTCTAAACCCTCCGGTGTCCTTCTAAACCCTCCGGTGTCCTTCTTTTCTGTTCATGACATCATGCAGTGTCATCAGCAAGTAACGCTGTGACATCATCACCAGATGACATCATGTGTCTCAATGACATGATGTCTCAATTGGAGACGCCAGAAAATGTCTTCTCCTAACCTACCGAAGTCCTGAGATTCAGCTCCACGAACAGGTAACGATACAAATGTCTACAAACCGAGGAGCCTTAAGAGCAAACACTTCCGTTACAAGAACGGATTCGATTATGTTAGTGATGCTAACTGAGGCTAGCTGCTAGCTCAGCTGCCGCACTCAACGATGGCGCAGATCCATGTTGTACTTAACAGAGAACACGTATACATGTAGTCCTCTGAGCGGCCCGGACCAGAACTACAGGAATACAGGACCAGAACTACATGACCAGAACTACAGGAATACAGGACCAAAACTTCAGGAATACAGGACCAGAATTACAGGACCAAAACTACAGAACTAGAGGGCCATAAGTACAGGAACAGAACTATAGGAGCAAAACTACAGAACTAGAGGGCCATAAGTACAGGAACAGAACTATAGGAGCAAAACTACAGAACTAGAGGGCCATAAGTGCAGGAACAGAACTATAGGAGCAAAACTACAAAACTAGAGGGCCATAAGTACAGGAACAGAACTATAGGAGCAAAACTACAGAACTAGAGGGCCATAAGTACAGGAACAGAACTATAGGACCAAAACTACAGAACTAGAGGGCCATAAGTACAGGAACAGAACTATAGGACCAAAACTACAGAACTAGAGGGCCATAAGTACAGGAACAGAACTATAGGACCATAACTACAGGACTCGAGGGCCATAAGTACAGGAACAGAACTATAGGACCAAAACTACAGAACTAAAGTGCCAGAACTACAGAACCAGAACTACATGACCAGAACTACAGGAATAAAGGACCAGAACTACAGAACCAGAACTACAGGAATACAGGACCACAACTACAGGAATACAGGACCACAACTACGGGACCAAAACTACAGGGCCAGAACTACATGACCAGAACTACAGAACTGCAGGGCCATAAGTATAGGAACAGAACTATAGGACCAAAACTACAGAACTAAAGTGCCAGAACTACAGAACCAGAACTACAGGAATACAGGACCACAACAACAGGAATACAGGACCACAACTACAGGACCAAAACTACAGGGCCAGAACTACATGACCAGAACTACAGAACTACAGGGCCATATGTATAGGAACAGAACTATAGGACCAAAACTACAGAACTAAAGTGCCAGAACTACAGAACCAGAACTACAGGAATAAAGGACTAGAACTACAGGACTAAAACTACAGGAATACAGGACCTGAACTACATGACCAGAACTAAAGGAATGAAGGACCAGAAATACAGGACCAGAAGTACAGGAATACAGGACCAGAAGTACAGGAATACAGGACCTGAACTACAGGAATACAGGACTAGAACTACAGGACTAAAACTACAGGAATACAGGACCTGAACTACATGACCAGAACTAAAGGAATGAAGGACCAGAACTACATGACCAGAAGTACAGGAATACAGGACCAGAACTACAGGAATACAGGACCAGAACTACAGGACCAAAACAACAATAATACAGGACCAGAATTACAGGACCAAAACTACAGGGCCAGAAGTAGAGGACCAGAACAGGAACACAATGTTCCACAACATCATCAGTGAGCCTCTCTGTACCTGATGAAGCCGTCGTCCCTTTCAGCATAAGCTCAGATTGTGTAAATACACATCCATACTTCCACATGTGTGTTTGAGTTTTACTGAAATCCATGAAAAAACCTCATTGCACTGCTCTGGCCTACACAGGGTTTTTATTCAGAGATGTTTGTGAACTTTATTCTTGGAAAAAACAAGTTTTAGAACAGTTTTGCTGGAGATGGGTGATGTTTTCTTTTGTGGTGTAAGGTTTTGTGGTTAGTGTGTAGACTTTTGCAAAAGTAGCCCATAGTTTCGCCCCCTGACTTGGGCCAGAGCAGACTCTCTTTGAGGAAGCTCAGGTCCTTTAATGTATGCAGCAGGATGTTGTATATGTCTCAGTATCAGTCGGTTGTCGAAAGCGCAGTTTTCTTTGCAGCCACCTGCTGGGGTAGCAGCATCGGAGCCAGTGACAAGCAAGAGACTGAACAAGCTAATAAAGGCGGCTGGTTCTCTGCTGGGCTCTGCTCCGGGGCCCCTGGACTTGGTTGTGGAGAGAAGAATCTTCCACAACACTTCACACCCGCTGCACAACCTGCCGGTCGGGCAGCAGAGCGCATTCAGCTGGAGACTCCTACAAGCACCGTTACAGGAAGTCCTTCCTACCCACTACCATCACAACAACTCCCCTCTGGGCCCGGAGACGAGACTGAAGGACCCGTGAAAATAAAGGACAGCCGCACTGTTGTAAACACATTTTGAAAAGGAAACTTTGTACATTATACAATAGTTTGTGTAAATATGTCTGGTCTGTCAATTTTGCTGCCGCAACATCGCAATTTCCCATCGGGGATCAATGAAGTTCTATCCATCTATCTTGAGACACAGCCGCGGTATGATGTCATTGTGTGATGTCATCATGATGTCGTCACCTGGTTCCTCCACAGACTGGCCACCGTGTTGTAGAGCAGCAGCAGCATCAGAGGACTGCTGAAGTGAAACCAGCTGAGCTCAGAGTTCACCTGCAGCCTCCAGGGGGCGTCACAGTCCACAGACCCCACCGAGACCAGCCGAACACGCTGCAGGATCAAGGACATCAATCAATAAGTCAACCAGGAACCATGAAATCTTCTCCCCGCCTCCTTTCCTTCGCTCCCTCCTCCTTTCCTTCTCTCCTGCCTCCTTTCCTTCGCTCCCTCCTCCTTTCCTTCGCTCCTGCCTCCTTTCCTTCTCTCTCTCCTCCTTTCCTTCTCTCCTGCCTCCTTTCCTTCTCTCTCTCCTCCTTTCCTTCTCTCTCTCCTCCTTTCCTTCTCTCCTGCCTCCTTTCCTTCTCTCTCTTCTCCTTTCCTTCGCTCCTGCCTCCTTTCCTTCTCTCCTGCCTCCTTTCCTTCTCTCTCTCCTCCTTTCCTTCTCTCCTGCCTCCTTTCCTTCTCTCTCTCCTCCTTTCCTTCTCTACTGCCTCCCTTCCTTCTCTCCTGCCTCCTTTCCTTCTCTCTCTCCTCCTTTCCTTCTCTCCTGCCTCCTTTCCTTCGCTCCTGCCTCCTTTCCTTCTCTCTCTTCTCCTTTCCTTCTCTCCTGCCTCCTTTCCTTCTCTCTCTCCTCCTTTCCTTCTCTCCTGCCTCCTTTCCTTCTCTCTCTCCTCCTTTCCTTCTCTACTGCCTCCCTTCCTTCTCTCCTGCCTCCTTTCCTTCTCTCTCTCCTCCTTTCCTTCTCTCCTGCCTCCTTTCCTTCGCTCCTGCCTCCTTTCCTTCTCTCTCTTCTCCTTTCCTTCGCTCCTGCCTCCTTTCCTTCTCTCCTGCCTCCTTTCCTTCTCTCTCCTCCTTTCCTCCTCCCTCACCTCCTTTCCTTCTCTCCTGCCTCCTTTCCTTCTCTCTCTCTCCTTTCCTTCTCTCCTGCCTCCTTTCCTTCTCTCTCTCCTCCTTTCCTTCTCTCCTGCCTCCTTTCCTTCTCTCTCTCCTCCTTTCCTTCTCTACTGCCTCCCTTCCTTCTCTCCTGCCTCCTTTCCTTCTCTCCTGCCTCCTTTCCTTCTCTCTCTCCTCCTTTCCTTCTCTCCTGCCTCCTTTCCTTCTCTCCTGCCTCCTTTCCTTCGCTCCTGCCTCCTTTCCTTCTCTCTCTTCTCCTTTCCTTCTCTCCTGCCTCCTTTCCTTCTCTCTCTCCTCCTTTCCTTCTCTCTCTCCTCCTTTCCTTCTCTCCTGCCTCCTTTCCTTCTCTACTGCCTCCCTTCCTTCTCTCCTGCCTCCTTTCCTTCTCTCTCTCCTCCTTTCCTTCTCTCCTGCCTCCTTTCCTTCGCTCCTGCCTCCTTTCCTTCTCTCTCTTCTCCTTTCCTTCGCTCCTGCCTCCTTTCCTTCTCTCCTGCCTCCTTTCCTTCTCTCTCTCCTCCTTTCCTCCTCCCTCACCTCCTTTCCTTCACTCTCTCCTCCTTTCCTTCTCCCCTTCCTTCTTTCCTTTCCTCCTCTCCCCCCTTTCCTGTCCCTGTGGTGTTACCTGTATGGAGGGTAAATGTGTGTTACCTGGCGGAGGTGCGGTTGGGAGGCCACGCCTCCTGCATTGAGGGAAGCTGGTAGCAGTAGAGGAGCAAGAAGTGGGAGGAGGAGTAGAGGAGTGACATCACACACACCCCCCTGAAGAGGAGAGGTGGGACCTGGCCTGACCACGCCCACCAGGTACACAACACCTGGAAACAGAGGAGGTAGGGCAGGGAGGAGAGAGAGGGGAAGATGATACCTGGAGGAGCAGAGACAGAGAAGTTAGCTTTAGAATAACGTTCAGCTCATGTAATGTTCTGACACAAAAACAAAGGGACAACCTCTCCAACCTCTCCAACCTCTCCACCCGAACCACCCGGGGTCTCATTTCTAAACTGTGCGTTCGTACAGAACAGGGCTGGAAACGTGCGGACGCCACTTCCCGAGCGAAGGCTGTGATCTCTAACAAACAGAGCTGACAGTCAGTAAACTCTGAACCACGCGGACGCACAGAAAGAGGAGAGAAACGGCGCCTCACACGGCAGAAGGAGGAAACTGTTGGAAATGATGGTGGAACATAAATCCAGATCTGCCCTCTGAGTATTCCAGGCTTAAAGCCTTTCTGAAGAAACAAAGTGGCAAAAAAACATTGCAGCCACAAAAAGATCCAGATTCAGGATCATAAACACAAACGGAGATTCTGTTTCTGCAAAAGAGTCAGATTCATTAATACTCGCATGCAGCAGTTTATTCTCATAAATCAGGTGAACAGGAGACAAATTATATTTAAATCGATTTTTCAGTGCGTCAGTCGAGCAGATAGAGAGTTTCACGTGTTGTTATCACGTTTGTTGCCTGATCGAGTGCCAGCGTGTGGGTGAGACGCGCTGCCTGGAAATAAAACTATTTTATTGTCTTTTCCAACAAGTCATATTTCTTTAACTCGTCAGCAGCTTCGTTAAGCGAGTGGAGTGTTTGTGGAAGTCTCTTTTCAAACGGGGCGACGTCACTACTCAGAGGGAGGCCCCTTCCTGCAGATCGGTTATAAAGGGGCGGAGCTCCGGGGCCCCTTCACCAAAAGTAACGTCAGCGTCCCTGAGTTAGACTCAGAGTCTGCCTCCTTTTCTTCCTGCAGTCAGGACGCGTTAATATTAACCAGCTTCACTCAGCGTCTACATGGGGCTCCCTCACAGGGGCCACATTTCAAGTTGATTGGGATTTATAAGGGGAACATTGCTTAGAAATGTGCGTACGAATGGTTTTATAAGTCTGAATATTTGTTGTCTTTTGGGCACACGTACACTTTTACTGAGGTTTCTACGCACAGTTTTATAAATGAGAGCCCAGGTGTTTCAGCTGTTCCTGTACCTGTCACATTAGAAAGGGTTTAACAGAAATAATATGAAGAGTACAAAGCCCACAGTTCAGCCACCAATGATGAGTCCTGATCTCAGTTCAGATTCCCACAAGAGTCCAGATCTCAAAAAAACCTCCTCTTCTGGATCCAAGTGAGCAAACAGAAAATCTCCCTCTTCATCAGACAAAAGTTAGCCAACGAAAATAAAACCAGAAGTGTTGATGTGTTCTCCTAACTGCTCTCCTGCGCAGTGATTGTGAGGAACCAGAACCTGTGAGCGGCAGACCTGGTGGTGGTTCATGGGGGACTGAAGGGTGAGCGGTACTGATTCCACCGACCGATGCCCAGTTCCCAACCACATAGTAAATGAAAACAAGTATCTTAACGTATATTTGTTTAAACACCAGGGCCGCTTTAGGAGCTACAGCTCTATGTCAACCAAAGTGTTCAGAGGACTCTGTTACTCGCAGACCAAAGAGACAGCAAAAGGGGTCTCAACAGGTCCCAAAGGACAGAGCTTCAGGCAGACAGTGTCTATGGGTGAGTTCTGCACACAGTTAGGGTTCAGAAAGCTTCACAGAGAGCCCGGTGTGCAGGTAGATCCTTCCAGGATGGGCATCACCACATCCTGACCGGCCCAGAGGGAATCACCCAGCTGCACTTAGTCCCTGGTGCAACAGGAGCTCTGAACGATCCTCTAATCAAAGACCAGAACACCTTGGGGATTGGCCAAACCAATTAAAATATATGAAAATGGCAGCAAACACATACGTCTGTTTGTGCTTCAGCGCTGCTCAGTCTCCTGAGAGGCTGCTGAAAGGAGACTCTGAACCTCTTCAGGGTTGTTCCTGTCACAGGTCCAGTTTGGGGTTTCTGAATCTGCAGTGTGCAGAGTGTCGGCATGGTGACTTCAGGATAATGGCTCTGTGGTTCTGTTGTTTCATCAGACTGTGACCAGTCCCAGTGAGCTCTGGGACGTTTGCAATTAGTTTAGGGAGTGGGTCTGGAGTCAGAGGACTTTCAGATAGACCTGGCGGAGGTTCATCAGAGGGCAAAGTGCAGCTGGCGTCCCACTGCGCGACCAGTTCAGCCGGGCGAGCCTGTGTTATGTAGCTAAAACCTTCTGTGCTGGGACGTCCGGCGTCTCCCCAGACTGGACTCAGTGAAATGACCGAGCTGAAGTCCGTCTGAACACGAGAGACCTCAGAGGAGAACCACTGTCCATCACGTGGAAAGAAGTCAGCTGAGGGAGTTCAGCATCTGATCCGGACACCTGCCAGACTCCTCCCTGCGGAGGAGACATGTCTAACTTGGAGGAGACCTCAGGGTCAGACCAGAACAAGCTGGGGGGTTATATCGGATCTGGTCTGGGAACATGTAGCCTGCTGCCACAGTGTCCCAGAGCCAGTAAAGCAGTGCAGAATATACCGGTACCTGTCCACTTGTTTACCTGTGAGTCCCAGTAGAGCCGTCAGCAGGACTTTCCCTCCAGCGGTCGTCATGTTTCCTACAATCTGTCTGGTTTTACAAACCAGTGACTCCAGTTCAACCAGAAGCCTCTTTCTGCCTCCTTCCTCCTCCTCTTCCTCCTCTCCAAGCACAGAGTCCTCCTCAAACATCAGGTCCTCCTGCAGCTGCCCCTCCTCCTCCTGTCCCTCCTCCTGAGGCTGAAAACAACAAGGGTTCATTACTCCGTCACACCTGCAGCTGGTTTGACAGTAATCCAACATGTCGGCCTCGAGTCTGAATAAGACTTTCCTGATTCAACGCGACAATGAACGATATGCGGAGAGAAATGTGAGCCTGCCGCTTTCAGGTCACAGTGAACCATGTTTAACTCACCACTGTGCACTTTCTGTAAATGTTCTGTGGAGTCTGACTGAAGCTGTGAGTACTTTAATGTGACGACAGCAAGCTCCACTTTCACAGAGATGAAGACAGAGGCAGAGTTTCTCTTTGTCCTCCTGGAGTGACCTGGAGGACCGGTGTGCCGTCAGTCTGTCAGTGCTGCTGTCTGCTGGTCTGGTTTCGCCTTAACAGACTCTGACAGGGCTACTAATATGCTGATTGAAACGAAACCTGATCATTATACCCCGTGTGTGTGTGTGTGTGTGTGTGTGTGTGTGTGTCCTGATGCAATCACTTAACGAGGTTACAGTTAATAAATAGCTTACTGAGTTACACACTAATAGACAGGAAACCTTGTTAAGAAACGAGAGGAGACGACATAACGAGGTTAAACCTGCTTCATTAGCGTGCGTTTGTGCGTGTGTGCTACCTGCGTGTGTGTGTCGGCGTTCAGTCTTACGATCAGCCTCCAGGTCAGCAGACCAACGACCAGCACGCCAACATCTGGAAACACCTGTCTCACGGCTGAGCCAGCATCACTTCCTGTCAGACTGACGCAGACGCATTTTATTAGGAAACGTTTCTTCTCGGCAGCAGACACATTTAATATTCAAATATAGAAACAATGCCAAAAATGACAGAATAAATATGAAATAATTAGAATAAAACAAGAAGTAAATAAGTCAAATAACAGATATAAAGGGATTCAGTGTCACATCATAAAAGCTGAAGCTAGAAGCTCTTTCTCTGACAACTTCTCTGTAAAGTCACATTTTCTTTGATTTCTGATGTTCTGAACAAAGAAACAAAACTCTGTCCTTGCTCACACACAGCTTCACGTTCAAAGTGAACCATTTCTGTTCGTACAGATTCAGGACGAGTCCTGCAGAGTGTGTTTCTGAGTGTTTACTGCTGCGTGCAGAGCCGTGTAGTCCAGACAGAGAGACTACTGTCTGAGCTCCTGCTGCACACGCACACAGATACACACTGTAACACACACGCACACACGCACACAGATACACACTGTAACACACACGCACACACGCACACAGATACACACTGTAACACACACGCACACAGATACACACTGTAACACACACGCACACAGATACACACTGTAACACACGCACACAGATACACACTGTAACACACACGCACACACGCACACAGATACACACTGTAACACACACGCACACACGCACACAGATACACACTGTAACACACACGCACACAGATACACACTGTAACACACACGCACACACGCACACAGATACACACTGTAACACACGCACACAGATACACACTGTAACACACACGCACACACGCACACAGATACACACTGTAACACACACGCACACACGCACACAGATACACACTGTAACACACACGCACACAGATACACACTGTAACACACACGCACACAGATACACACTGTAACACACGCACACAGATACACACTGTACACACACGCACACAGATACACACTGTAACACACGCACACAGATACACACTGTAACACACACGCACACAGATACACACTGTAACGCACACGCACACAGATACACAGATACACACTGTAACACACACGCACACAGATACACACTGTAACGCACACGCACACAGATACACAGATACACACTGTAACACACACGCACACACGCACACAGATACACACTGTAACACACACGCACACAGATACACACTGTAACACACGCACACAAATACACACTGTAACGCACACGCACACAGATACACACTGTAACACACACGCACACAAATACACACTGTAACGCACACGCACACAGATACACAGATACACACTGTAACACACACGCACACACGCACACAGATACACACTGTAACACACGCACACAGATACACACTGTAACACACGCACACAGATACACACTGTAACACACACGCACACAGATACACTGTAACGCACACGCACACAGATACACAATACACACTGTAACACACACGCACACACGCACACAGATACACACTGTAACACACGCACACAGATACACAAACACACACTGTAACACGCACACAGATACACGCTGTAACACACACGCACACAGATACACACTGTAACACACACGCACACACGCACACAGATACACAGATACACACTGTAACACACACGCACACACGCACACAGATACACACTGTAACGCACACCACACAGATACGCACTGTAACACACGCACACAGATACACAAACACACACACTGTAACACGCACACAGATATACGCTGTAACACACACGCACACACGCACACAGATACACACTGTAACACCACGCACACGCACACAGATACACACTGTAACACACACGCACACAGATACACACTGTAACACACACGCACACAGATACACACTGTAACACACGCACACAGATACACACTGTAACACACACGCACACACGCACACAGATACACACTGTAACACACACGCACACACGCACACAGATACACACTGTAACACACACGCACACAGATACACACTGTAACACACACGCACACACGCACACAGATACACACTGTAACACACGCACACAGATACACACTGTAACACACACGCACACACGCACAGATACACACTGTAACACACACGCACACACGCACACAGATACACACTGTAACACACACGCACACAGATACACACTGTAACACACACGCACACAGATACACACTGTAACACACGCACACAGATACACACTGTAACACACACGCACACACGCACACAGATACACACTGTAACACACACGCACACACGCACACAGATACACACTGTAACACACACGCACACAGATACACACTGTAACACACGCACACACGCACACAGATACACTGTAACACACGCACACAGATACACACTGTAACACACACGCACACACGCACACAGATACACACTGTAACACACACGCACACACGCACACAGATACACACTGTAACACACACGCACACAGATACACACTGTAACACACACGCACACAGATACACACTGTAACACACGCACACAGATACACACTGTAACACACACGCACACAGATACACACTGTAACACACGCACACAGATACACACTGTAACACACACGCACACAGATACACACTGTAACACACACACACACACACACACAGATACACACTGTAACACACACGCACACAGATACACACTGTAACGCACACGCACACAGATACACAGATACACACTGTAACACACACGCACACAGATACACACTGTAACACACGCACACAAATACACACTGTAACGCACACGCACACAGATACACACTGTAACACACACGCACACAAATACACACTGTAACGCACACGCACACAGATACACAGATACACACTGTAACACACACGCACACACGCACACAGATACACACTGTAACACACACGCACACAGATACACACTGTAACACACGCACACAGATACACACTGTAACACACACGCACACAGATACACACTGTAACGCACACGCACACAGATACACAGATACACACTGTAACACACACGCACACACGCACACAGATACACACTGTAACACACGCACACAGATACACAAACACACACACTGTAACACGCACACAGATACACGCTGTAACACACACGCACACAGATACACACTGTAACACACACGCACACACGCACACAGATACACAGATACACACTGTAACACACACGCACACACGCACACAGATACACACTGTAACGCACACGCACACAGATACGCACTGTAACACACGCACACAGATACACAAACACACACACTGTAACACGCACACAGATATACGCTGTAACACACACGCACACAGATACACGCTGTAACACACGCACACAGATACACACTGTAACACACACGCACACAGATACACAAACACACACACTGTAACACGCACACAGATACGCACTGTAACACACACGCACACAGATACGCACTGTAACACACACGCACACAGATACGCACTGTAACACACGCACACAGATACACACTGTAACACACGCACACAGATACGCACTGTAACACACACGCACACAGATACACACTGTAACACACGCACACAGATACATAAACACACACAGTGTAACACGCACACAGACACACTGTAACACACACGCACACAGATACGCACTGTAACACACACGCACACAGATACGCACTGTAACACACACGCACACAGATACACAACACACACACTGTAACACGCACACAGATACGCACTGTAACACACACGCACACAGATACACACTGTAACACACACGCACACAGATACGCACTGTAACACACACGCACACATATACGCACTGTAACACACACTGTAACGCACACACAGATACACACTGTAACACACACGCACACAGATACGCACTGTAACACACACGCACACATATACGCACTGTAACATACACGCACACATATACGCACTGTAACATACACGCACACATATACGCACTGTAACACACACACTGTAACACGCACACAGATACGCACTGTAACACACACGCACACAGATACGCACTGTAACACACACGCACACAGATACGCACTGTAACACACACGCACACAGATACACAAACACACACACTGTAACACGCACACAGATACGCACTGTAACCACACGCACACAGATACACACTGTAACACACACGCACACAGATACGCACTGTAACACACACACACACAGATACGCACTGTAACACACACGCACACAGATACACACTGTTAGACACACGCACACAGATACACTGTACACACACACACACAGATACGCACTGTAACACACACGCACACAGATACCACTGTAACACAACACACACTGTAACACGCACACAGATACACAAACACACACACTGTAACACACACACAGATACACAAACACATACACTGTAACACACACGCACACAATACGCACTGTACACACACACTGTAACACACACGCACCAGATACGCACTGTAACACACACACTGTAACACACACGCACACAGATACGCACTGTAACACACACACTGTAACACGCACACAGATACACAAACACACACACTGTAACACGCACGCACACAGATACGCGCTGTCACACACACGCACACAGATACACGCTGAACACACACACACACAGATACACGCTGTAACACACACACTGTAACACGCACACAGATACACAACACACACACTGTAACACGCACACAGATACACAAACACACAC